ATTCATATGTAGTTTTAAATTATCCCAAAGTCTATGCTGCCAATCTTTCCATATGGCCTGGCTGTGGGCATTAAGAGATTGCCCTTTAGCAGTGACTGAAGGAAAGTCTGAGTATAATATCACAGGCCCAGACCCTGGGACTAGACCACCTGCCTGTGCCACTTATTATGGGCTTGGACATGTTCTCCCATGCATTGTTGCCTTCTTTTTCTTGTTGTAAAATGAGGATGGTAACAGTTACATCTAGAGTTGTTGGGGGGATTTGATAAATTCTAGAAGAGCCTGATAGCATGGTATTGTTTACTATGAGTGTTTTCTATGTGGTGTTGGTCTTCTGAGCTGCATGCTCTTTGGTCTTATTGTTCGCCATCTGCTAGCAGCTTTAGAATCCTCCTACCAGAAGGAAGTATCCAAGTCTCCATGAAAGAGGAAGTAATGGGACTTTGCAAGAGGGGTTCCAGGAAACTGTTCACACTAAAATTTGATGTGATGTGGAGCATCTCTTCTTGCAGGAAGGAAGGACTACTCTAACCACCTTGAAGGCCCCCTGCATCGGTTTTCAGCTGGCACAAGCATCCAATTGAAGTACGCCTGCTCTGAATTGCCCACACGTCAGGTTACCGTGACCTGGCTCAAAAACAACCATAGCTCTCTCCAGACACAGACCAATGTCTTCTCCAGTGGAAATACCTACAATGTGACTAGCAGTGTGCTTGTCCCCCTGGAGAGTGATGACATACTATCTTCAGTTCTCTGTCGGGTTGAGCACAAGTTATCAGTGATTTTCCTGAAGGTCATCAACTTGGACCAGTACCTCCGTGGTAAGACTTTTTCTCTTTCTGGCTGAGGTAATGCTAGGATAGACTGTGGGCTTCTCTTGGTGCCAGTTTACTCACCGAGGAATGGCCTTACTTGGTGGTAACACTAGAAACAGAATCTGTAAAGTACTTAGCATCATGCTCAGCTCAGAATTATTATGTACTTGGCCTAAGTTGCTATTTTAACTATTCATATTAACACTCAGAACTCACTTCCTTCATCTGAAAAACAGGATATCTACTCTCTGGGGTTTGGTCTTAGTATTGCTGTTCTATAAAAATAATACATTAAGGGCTTTGTGAGCTTCTAAATTGTAGGGACTATGTTGTCCTGAGATCATTACTCCTATCTGGATTTAAGTCAGTTTTTTTTCTTTTTGTTGTTGTTGATTTTCACGGGATGCACCAATGCTTGGTAGATCTGTAAAATCAGGGAAATCATGATGACTCCTACCAAGGAATAAATTTAAAGGTCCAAAACTGACCAATAAATAAACTACCTAAAGCATATAAGACTTTTAAAATTTACAAAATATTTTCCTCCTCATTTTTTTTGTCTCTGCATAAGAGAAGGAATATACTATCATCATGGAAACAAGCTCATCATTTTACATGGACAAAAATACTAATGTCACCACCTCCAGTAAGCATAGTCCACAACCGATACAGCACATTATGGGGGGTGGTCTGCCTTACTTAATTGGTACAGGTATCTTGTACTCTTTGTCTTATCTAAAAGGCAACAGATTCAGACATGAAAGCACCCAGTATTGCAAAGCTGATGAGCAAGTGGGTGATCTTTGTCCATCTCTACTATTTATGTATTCAGGTTGCTTGTGTTATCAGTCTCAGTATGTTTGGATATCAGATAGGAAAGAGTAGTTCAGGGAGGCTTCTTTTTTTCTTTAATATTTATTTACTTATTACTTATTTATTTATTTTACATCCTAACCACAGTTTCCCTTCCCTCCTCTCCTCTAAGTCCCTGCCCCACCTCCCCCTCTCTCTCTCCACCACCCACTCCTCCTCCGTTTCTATTCAGAAAAGAGCAGACCTTCTTTAGATATTGACAAAACATAGCATATCAAGTTACAGTAAGACTAAGCACCTCGCCTTCTATTAAGGCTGGGCAAGGTGACCCAGTATGGGGAGTAGGGTTCCAAAAGCCAGCAGAAGAGTGAGACAGACCTGTTTCCACTGTTAGGGGTCCCACAAGAAGACCAGGCTACACAACTGTCACATATATGCAGAAGGCCTAGGTCAGTCCCATGTAGGCTCCCTGGTTGTCAGTTCAGTCTCTGTGAGCTTCTATGAGCCCAGGTTAATTGACTCTGTGGGTTTCCTTGTGATAGCCTTGACCCCTCTGGCTCCTACAATCCTTCCTCCCTCTCTTTAGTAGGATTCCCTGAGCTCAGCCTTGTGTTTGGCTGTGGGTCTGCATCTGTTTCCATCAGTCATTGAATGAAGCCTCTCTGGTGACTATTGGGCTAGGCACCATTCTATGAGGACAGCAGAATATCACCAGGCATCATTACATTGACATTTTCCCCCAGTCCTGTTTGGTTCTATCCTAGGTCTCTGGGTCATCCAACCTCTGGGTCCTGGCACTCCAGGCAGTGTCAGGGGTGCGCTCACTCTTGTGGCATGGGTTTCAGGCTGGACCAGTCATTGGTTGGCCACTCCCACAATCTCTGTGTCACCCATACCCCAGCACACCCCCTAGGCTGGACAGACTGTAGGTCAAAGGTGATGTGGCTGACTTGGTATGTCCCAGTGCCTCTGCTGGTAGTCTTGCCTGGTCACAGGAAGTGGCCAGCTCAGGCTACGCATCCTCTTCTGTTAGGAGTTTTAGCTGGGGTCACCCTTGTAGATTCCTAAGGGTTTCCCTTGTGCCAGGTTTCTGTCAGACCCTGAAATGTCTCCCTCTCCAGTCCGTTCTTTCAACATTCTCCCCCACCTCACCCCACCCTCACCTGATCCCTCATGTTCCCATCTCCACCCACCCCCAGTCCACCCACAAAATCTCTTCTAGTTCTCAGGGAGGCCTCTTTACCCAAGTATTTCTTAAATAATTCCCTGGAGCTAGGACAATTGTGTAAGGAAGAAAAGTCATAGAACATAGAAATGTTCACAAATGAACTGATTACTTATCAAAGGTTCTGACCTTTCCTTGTTTAGCACATGTATCTCCAGCTAGGTTTCTCTGTAGTAGAAATGTCTTTGTTTGGTCTAAAAGCAGGATTTAAGGGTTAAACCCTGAGTTCCTTCAAGTTGTAACACATAAGGATTTATATTATCTACACTAGACCAAGAGCTGAAATCTGTCTAACTTAGACATCAGTGAGCTGATTTGGCCTTAGAAATGTCTTAATTTCAAAGTCTCATAAACAGAGCAAAAACAGCTTACAGAAAGTCTGGTTGGCTTTGATGTTGGTGTAGAGACCAGAATCTAGACCACCCAGCCTTCCGTTCAGTGTGATGTTTCTACCATGCTGCTAGTTCACTTGAAGACATTGGAAAGGATCACAGTGGGATTTCCCATGACCATTGTCTGCCGTTGTGAACACATTGCATTGTATGCTGACAGCTCCAGTGGAATCCCTTCTAGAAGCCATCAGGTCCTAATTTCAGAAGACTTATGGTTTGGTTGTCACTGTAATATAGTGTACACACACTGTCTCTGCTGTAACCCCAAGATTTGCTACTAGAGACATTGGAAAAATTATTTAACTTCTCCAAACTGAAGGGTTTTTTTTTCTATGTAAAAATCTTAGTATCTTGGTCTCTAACACTTAGTGTCTGTGAATCTTCAAATCTTGGAATTACTTAGTCATAGAGTAAGCTGACTGATTTGTAGTTTGCTAAATGGATTTGATACATTTTCTATAGCTCAAAATAAAAAGAAGAAATATTGCGATATCTCTTATCAACCCATCTTTCCATCCATCTATCCAAACCTGAATTCTGACTCTCATCCCACTATGTATTTCTCTATTCATACCCCTATCAACCAATACTCAAATTCTTATTTGTGGCAGGCACTAGGTTGGTCCCTAGCAGAGGACCACGCCCTCAAAAGACTTCCAGTAGGTTTCCTGCAGCAATTATTTGCTTTATATGGATTTTTGTCTCAGTTCCTCCTACAGTGAGAGTGTCCCAGTCTTCAACTGTCTCTGGTGTGGTTGTTACTTGCCATGTGGAGAGATTCTATCCACAGGATGTGTATCTCACCTGGCTAGAGGATTGCCATGTGCTCAGAAGATTGGAGCAGCCTACACCTAAGAGGAATAAGGATGGGTCCTACACTCTGGAAATCTCGAAGCCAATAAACACATCAGTGCAGAGGCCTGATCGAGTACTCACTTGCAAGGTAGAACATGAGGCCCAGCCTCCCATCCAGGCCAGCATCATATTGTCTACAGCATCCTATACCACATCCAAAGCCATTGGGATCCTAAGTAAGTTCACCTCTTTTCTCTTGGGCATATTGGGGTCACCTTGGTTTCCTCATTGCATTACAGAAGATACTAGACTAGGAAGATAAAGAGTTTCATGATAATTGATGTCTTGTCCAAATTGGGAGTCTGTAGTTTCTTAAATAGACAGAATGATCTTCAGCCAGTGGCTTCCTTTAGAGTGACCACCCAGTATGGTTCTTCCATTTCTATTGGGAGAATGTTCTACCAGTTAATGTTTAAAAATGCCCTAGAGAAAGTTTAGCTTAGTGTTGATCCACTCGTGACCATGAGATACTTATCGCTAAGACTCTTGTTTAAAGTAGTGTCCAGAGTAGGGAGTAAGCTTACCTGTACACTGTTCTATAAGACATGCTTAAAAAGTCATATCTGGGGACAGCCTTATGCACACTCTAATGATAACTATTTCTACTTAGTTATTTAATAAACATAATATCCTCTGTTCACCAGTCTACATACCTGTAATAGGGTGTAAGTCAGGTTCCTAATTTATAGAATCCTCTTGAGGATTAAATATTAATATACAATGGATATAGAATTGATATGTTTTCTATACTAAATATCACCTGCTGTTATTATTTGAATTTATGTAAAATTGTTCTCAAATTAATTTTCAATAGTTACAGTTGTGTAAGTTTAGGCAACACAGTCAACCATGACTCAGAGACCCATTTCTTTATCTGTAAGATGTTCCTGACAATGCCAATGTTCTAAGATTACAATGAAGGTTGCATTAAGTGACCACTAGATCTTGGAAACAAGGCATTGATTATATTCGTGTTGGCACATTGACTGATGAATGTCAGATCTTTAGGCAGTGTTTGTTGGGGAAAAATTGAAGGTAAACTTCACAGGTCTCTTACTTCTGAGACTAACTGTACAGCAATAAGCCCAAGGATGGGATCAGAATTGGGAAATACTAAAAACTCCCTGGCTACCAACCTTAGATAGCTCATTTCAACTCACATGACCCCATTTGTTGGCCCCTTTGTCCTGTGTGTTTTAGGTTCAGAGAAATATATCCATATTTTTGTGGCTTCCCTCCTGTGCCTCAAGGGACTTCTGGTGCTGATTGTACTATCTATCTACATGTATAGGCGATGGAACCGGTGATGGGTGAGTCTGAAAATGGACCTTAGTCCTAAGAGGGTGAACTCACAGCCATGGCCATAGGTAGCAAGAGGACGTCACAGTAAACATACAGTGTTCACAGGATACACCTTCAAAGATTCCCACAAATGTTACCTAGCCTCAGCAGGAGACTCTGAATACTCTCTTTTCCCCCAAATATCATTTGGAACTCTTAGAGGCTCCCAACCCTGTGCATTATGTGGAGTCCTGGAGTTGGAAAATTTTCTAGTTATGTTCCTTGGGATTCTGAGTGTAGAAGCTAAAGGTGTGAAAATGGAGAAATATTCAAGACCTAAACTCCAGAGAATCTGCTCACATATTGTTAAATTTTGCTATGATGTCAAGCAATAAGACATATCCAAAAAAATGAACATGCTAGCTTGTGGAAAAGATGAATGTGCATACGGAAGAGGGGTCAGGGCTCAGAAAGAGGTGTGAGGTGTATAAAGAGAGGCTTCATTTCTGATAATCCTTTAATAAGGAATTCAGAAAAAAAGAGAACTGGTAATTTAGTGTGTATTCAACAGATAGTAGTGGAATTAATACATGAATGAAGAAACCAATGAGCAAATGATTTGTCCTACTTCTCTATGGCCTGTCATACATTGCCTCCTACCCTCTCTAAGGAGCTCCAATGGAGAGAAGATGCAAGGACCTGCTGGTGATCCAAGACTCCTGCTCTTCCCCTTCTCAATGGATGTGCTCCCTCTGTACACTGTTGGAGACGGACTTGCATTACTTAGATGTTCCAGCCTCGAAATGCTGAACTTCAGATGAGCTCTGCTTACATCCAAAGGCAATTCAATGACAAGGAAAACACATGTTCACTCTGTCTCTGATTGCAGTCAACCCTTGATTTTCCAGTTTTCACTACTATATAGAATTTCTGCAAGTATGATTTAATTTTAGCAGACGCAAAACTTAAAATTACTAGAATGTTGAAGAAGCATCTTCCTATCTTGAAATGTATAAAAACAATATAAGATATCTCTGGACTCACTATAACATTTTGCAAAATATTAACATTTTTGCCCATATCTTCTTCAAGTTTCTTTTAAAAATTGCCCTGCATTTTTTGGTTTTCTTTCTCAATCATGGTTTTATACTGTTATGACATATGAATAACCTTTAGGCATCATATAGTATTTTTGCTTTTATTTTTTTCAGGTCTATTATATTGCATATAGCATTTTGAAACTTTATTTCATTTTTATACTTAATACACCTTGTGAATTTATTAATGCTGAAACATGTAGCTGTTTTATTCATTTTACATTGCTCTGTGGTTTTCTATTGTAACAATATTTCATTAATCCATCTCATAATGGACATAAAACCTTTATTCAATGCTCTTGTTATTACACTTTTGTGACATTCTTTTCTTAACCTCTAAGCACATGGGAGAATCTTTCTTGTTCCTTAAACAGGGCACACAAAGCAGCAGTGTAGGTAACATTTATATGTTTTGTTAACTCAAAAATAAATTTTCAATTTTTGAACATATGTTATCATTTTTACACACACACACACACACACACACACACACACACACACACACACACACACTTCTTCCTTTCTTCCTGATTATGGTGGTGGGATATGTATAAATAGGTGGCAGAGACCTTTTATTGCCTATAAGGTTAAGTGATCCAATATACACTGATACTTGCTTCCTCCTTTACTACATATTAAATTTCTATAATCTGGAGCTGTGTTGATAAATACTTTATTCCATTAATCTACATATCTATCTCTGTCAAGGCTATGCTGCCTTAGTTAAAATAGTTTATAATTTTTATTTTCCCTTCTAGGAAAATTGTCCTACTTTTTCTCATTCAAAATTGTTGTGGTTATTTCTTTTTTATTCTGCTTTTTGGGACTGTGCTTTTATATTTTTAAGGAAATTAATCATTGCATGAGCATTCTGGAAATGGCATCAAACATTCTCCTAAAATATCAGCAGCTTAAATGTCATTATAAAATTTTCTTTTATATTAAAACCTTCACAGTTGAAACTAGCTAACCTAAGTAAAGCTAACCAGGTGCATAAATCAGAGAGAAATGAATGTTACTTATTGGGGGCACATTTATCTTTCTCCTGATTTCTGTTTTTTATTCCTTGAGAATCACTATCTCTCCCACTAAAACCTACTGTGTTTTGAATAAGAAACGTTCATCATTGTATGGGCAGGTTTAGGAGGCATGGCCTTTTTGAAGAAAATATACTACTAGAGGAAGTCTTGGAGAGTTTAAGCCCCCATCATGCTTCCAGTTGCTTTCTCTGCTTCTTCCTTACATTTCAAGATGTGAGCTCTCAGGTTTCTACTCCTGATGCTATGCATGAAGCTGTGACTATGCCTTGTGGTGGTCACTGTCATGATAGACTGTAACTATCTGGAACCGTAAGCCAAAATAAACTCTTTCTTGCTTTGGTCATGGTATTTAATCATAAAAATCATAAAATTGGTGTTCTGGTTAGTTTTCTATCAACCAGACACAGGTTGGGTCATTTGGGAAGAGGTAACCTCAAGTGAGAAAATGCCTCCATCAGATTGGCCTGTGGTCAAGTCTGCAGGGGCAACTTTTTGATTAATGATTGATGTGGGTGGGCCTATCTTACTATGAGAGGTACCACCCTTGGGCAGGTTGCCTTGGGCTGTATAAGAAATGTAGCTGAGCAAGCCCTGGGTAAGCAAGCCAGTAAACAGCCTGCCTCCCTGTCCCCTGCTTCAGTTCCTGCCTTGAGGCCCTGCCCTGGCCTTTCTCAAAGATGGATCTTCACATGGAATTGTAATCCAAATAAACCCTTTCCTTTTAGTCATGATGTTTTATCAGAGCAACAAAAAGTAAAGTGGGACAAGTAACAGGCAGAAATTGGTACCAGAGAGTGGGTGTTGTTGTAAAGAACTTGACTGTGACCTTGGAGGAATGTGGAAGACTCTGGTGCTTTGGACTAGAAAAAAAAATGAAGGCTATAAGACAAGGTTAAAGAGACATTATAGTAGGAGCCTAGAAGACTGCAAGCGATGTAGTCAGTATTGGCCTAGCTCAAGAGGTTTCAGATGAGAATGATGTTAGCAACTAGGCTACAGACCATTCCTGAGATAATTTGACCAAGAATATGGCTACCTTCTGCCCATGTCTTGAGTAAATTGACTGAAGCTAATCTTAAACATACTAGACTGGGGCTGGAGAGATAACTCAGCATTTGAGACACTGGATACTCTTCCAGAGAATCCAGGTTTGATTCCCAGCACTCACCTGTGTAGCAGGAATCTTAAAAGTTCTTATTGATAAAATCAAACCCGGAGCCAGGTATTGGGGTGAATACTGGAAGGTCAGAGAGACAGAACAAGCCACAGCTATCTCACCTCGCCGGATCCTCAGCTGGTCTTGTCTCCTCAGACTGGAGGCCTCTGAGTCCTCATCCGGAATGGGTCTCAGCTGAATTACTG